GGAGACTAGGAGGAGGAGACTAGGAGGAGGAGGAGGAGGAGGAGGAGGAGGAGGAGGCGAAAGGGCCCAGGGTGAGCCTGGCCAGGGTCGGTGCGCGCGTGTGGCTCTTGTCGCCCGACGGTCGAGGGCCCGATCTGGCGCCCCGAGCCCAGTGAGTCGGCGGGCATCGGCCGGATCGGAGGCCCTGATCGATCCCCGGCCATCGGATCGGTGGGGGGTCTCCTAGGCTCTCGACAGGTCGTCGAGCAGCGAGTTGAGCGTGAACTCGCACTCCGCCACTGGCATCAGGAAGCGCCTTGCGGCCGCCATACTTCCTCCTCCCCCTCCCCCTCCTCCTCCTCCTCCTGCTCCTAGTCCATGCCTTTTCTTTGTAAATAACTTCTCCCTGTCGCACCTGGATGGGCCTTTCGTATGAGACCCCCTGACCATTTATGATCCTGATTCTTAAAAATTAGCAGGAGCTTCACGGATGGAGGGCGGGTCGCTTCCAAAATGTGGCTCTCGCCTTAGCGCCGCGCACATTCGTTTTAAATACGTGTACAAGCTTCACGGATTGAGGGCGGGTCGTTTTCAAAATGTGGCTCTCGCCTCAGCGCCACGCACATTCGTTTTAATCATTGTACAAGCTTCCACGGATTGTGTGCGGGTCGTTTTCAAAATGTTGCTCTCGCCTCAGCGCCGCGCACGTTCGATCTGAACAATCGCAAGAAGTTCACGGGTTGAAGGCATAGCGCATACTCGTTGCTTTAACAGTTGTAAGAGTTCCACGGGTTCCCATGATTAATGTACAAGAAACGATGCTTTGAAACGATTCGGGACTGTCAGGGCGCAACAATTACGTTGATTCGCGGTGTTGGAGTCCCAAGAATGGTGCTCCGGCACGATCAAGGAACGTCAAAACGCAACAATCAGGTTGATTCGTGGTGTTGGGAGTCCCGAGAGTAGAGGTGTTGACACGCTTCAGGATCTTCAAACGGTTGTCTCCCAACCGGGCACTTCCCGCAGTGGAAATGAATCCTTGTAGGGGCCTATGAAAATGGAGCTTGAAGGGTGAGTTTGTTCCAACATCGTTCATGAGTCTTGGGTCTACACTGGTCCTCCTCCTCCGCATGCTCCTCCTCCTCCTCCTTCTCCTCCTCCTCGTCTGCTTCTGCTCCCTCCTCCAAGATCCTCCTCCTCCCCTTCCTCATCCTCGATCCTCCCTCTCATCTTCCTCCTCCACTGCTCTTCCTCCCTCCTCCTCGATCTACCTCCTCCTCCTCCTCCTCCTCCTCCTCCTCCTCCTCCTCCTCCTCCTCCTCCTCCTCCTCGTCCCCCTCCTGACCACCACCACCCACCAATACACCCACCACCACACACCACCACCCACCACCACATCATCATCATCATCATCATCATCATCATCATCATCATCATCATCATCATCATCATCATCATCATCACCACCACCACCACCACCACCACCACCACCACCACCACATCCATCATCATCATCATCATCATCATCATCATCATCATCATCATCATCATCATCATCCTCAACCTCATCATCATCATCACCACCACCACCATCATCATCATCATCATCATCATCAGCAGCATCGTCATCATCAGCATCACCATCATCAGCAGCATCATCAACAACATGATCATCAGAATCATCAGCATCATCAACATCAGCAGCATCATCACCAGCATAATCATTATCATCAGTAGCAGCCGCACCATCACCACCACCACCAACACCAGCATCATTACCACCACTACCATCACCAGCATCATCATCAGCAGCAGCAGAAGCAGCAGCAGAATCAGCATCATCATCATCATCATCATCATCATCATCACCATCATCATCCGCATCATCAGCAACATCACCATCATCGTAATATTCATCCTCATCCTCATCCACATCCTGATCATCATCATCAGCAGCAGCATCATCATCGTCATCATCACCATCATCAGCAGCATCATCATTATCATCAGCATCATCATCATCAGTATCATCATCGTCATCATCATCAGCAGTATTAGCAGCAGCATCATCATCAGCATCACCATCATCATCCGTATCAGCATCAGCATCATGAGCATCATGAGCATCAGCCTCATCGTCATCATCATCATCATAATCACCATCATCATCCGCATAAGCACCATCATCGTCAGCAACAGCATCATCATCATCATCATCATCATCATCATCATCATCATCAGCAGTAGCATCCTCATCATCATCCCATTAACAGCAGCATCATCAGCATCATCCTCCTTATCATCATCATCATCATCAGCAGCAGCAGCATCATTATCATCAGCATCATCAGCATCATCATCATCGATCCTCGATACTCGATCTTCGATCTTCGATCCTCGATCCTCGAGTTTCCTCCGCCGCCGCCAACTCGCTTCTGCCTTTTCCCCAGAGGGTAGAGCTCACTGCACTGAACTCTGCAGCGCGGACGCGGCCGCGAGAAACCCTCGCAAGAAACCCGACCCCTGAAAATCCGCGCGAGGGGTGCCACCTGGGGGGGGGCAACCCGAGGGCACCCTGAAGGAAGCAGCTTCGGAAGGCCCGCGGAGGTCACCGCGCAGCGGTCGAAGCGAAGAAACCCGAGATGCCCATGCGAAAACCAGCCGGGCTCTTAATGCGCGTCCCCACTGTAGGCGCCCTGCTATGGATCCACAAACTCGCCCCTCTCATCCTCATCCTCCTCAGCGGGCTGGCTTCTGTTGAGTGCACCATCCCTGAAGGGGCCAAAGGACACACAAATAAATACACACAAATAAAATGATTCCCCATATTTTCCCATATTTTCTTGGTTTTTGTCTTCCCCCCACTTCCCATATTTTCCCATATCACCCTGGGGATCGATGATTAATTGTGTCTGTGTGTTTTAGTCCTTCCTAAATCCCCTAGTTCGTGGCGCTGCAGTGCTCTCGCGAAGTGCCCGCACGTCCGTCCACCTCCGCCAGCAGCAGACAAACGGCATGAGCACAAACATAAGCGTTCAGAGGTCCGTGCGGATCTCTCGGATCCGCGCTGGACCCCTCATCTTCGATCATCGCCTTCCTCGCCATGTTCCTCCTTCCCTGAGGGGCAACGTTGCGGGGACCAGGTCGGGGGGGTAAACATCGACCTGGAAATCGGCGATACATTGCCGATAGATAGACCAATATCGGCGATCCATAGGCCATCGGAGCCGATGCATCCTCCCCTGAGCATATCCCCCCCTGACTGACGAACGAACAACACACACACACACACACACACACACACACACACACACGCCTCCCACCCATACCCAAATGGGGGACGGAGCGGGCTATGGGTGCGTAATGTGAGTGGGGGTCACCGCTCGAACAGGAGCCTCCCCCGCGGTTCGACAACCCGCACCCATACCCATAGCAAGTCCTCCTCCCTCTGATCCCCCTCTGGGTATGGGTGTGTGCCGTTCGCTCGTCACTAACGCTTCCCATGAAAAAGTACCGATACCGCTGCTCTGACCAGAATAACGAAGCGAATACAGCGGCGGCGACGAGGACATCCCAGGAGGGCCAGAAATGAGAAAAATTGCTTCACAAAATCGACCTCCAAAGGTCTCGACCTTTTCCTGGCCGCCGGTTTTTCATCCTGGGTCGTTTTGTGACGATCGAGGCCCAGTAAGGGCTCTCGGGACATAACTCGGACCTTCGGCGGCAGTTCGGGACGATCAGGGCACCCCCAGAATGCCCTCGGCGAGGCGCAGCCGCTGGAAGGCATCCCAAGGCTGGAAAGCCGCCGAGAGCCGACGAAAATATCCAAAAACCTCGATCCTCGCCATCCTCGCTATCTTCCTATTTCCCCTCCTCCTCCTCCTCCATCTTCCTCCTTCGACCCTTGAACCTTGATCCATCTTCCTCGATCCCTATCCCCGACCCTTGAACCTCGATTCTCGATCCTCGAACCTCGATCCTCGATCCTCGACTTTCGATCCAGGAGGCGCCCGGCGGCTTGCTGCGCGGCCCCCCGGCCCTGGAAGCCCAGCTGGGCCGCGACCTGCTGAGCGGAGGTCTCCTTGCCCCCGCGGAACGCGTAGGCCTTCGGCAGCGCCGAGGTGCCGAGCTCGTGGACGTAGACGATCGCGCCGAAGGTGATGAAGCCGACCTCAGAAGAGGAAAACCCGGACCCCCTCGCGTCGTGAAAAAAACACGGCAGCCGGTTTTTGGCAATTTTGGACCTCTGGAGGCCCTCGCTAGGCCCCGGGAGCGTCAAAAACCTACTCAGGATGAAAAAACAGTCCCCGGGAAGTCCAGACCTCTGGGGGTCCACGTCGTCAAGAATCACGACGTCGAGGGTCTGGGTATCGCTACCGTTACCTCGTTTTCGCATGCCCTCGTCGCCACGGCTGAATCCGCCTCGAAGTCATGGTCAGAACACACCCCAGGAGAGGTTCGGGGAGCAGCGATATTGGCGCTTCTTGCCCCCACGACCAGGGCGTTCTGCGGCATGATCGCCAGGCACTGTTGCAGCGAGTCCTTCGCCTGCTCGAGCTCCTCGTCGATCAGCGCGATGTCCAGCACGAACAGGAAGACTGGGGGCTGGCAGACGCTCTGCGGGATGATGTACTCGATGGTGGTGCACTGTGGGTGCAGCTCCGCCGGGAGGTTGGCCTCGGTGATGTGCTCCGCGTAGTGGGGCGGGAACTGGTTACGCTGCAGGCAGAATGGGCACCCCCAGGTCTTCGAGTGGAAGTCGACGAAGCAGTACGGGTTCAGGATCGCCCCGCAGTCCTTCACCTTGCAAACGATCGGCTCGTACTCTACGAGGGACAAGTTTTCTATGGCCTTCAGCGGCGTGTAGAGGCAGCCCAGAGGCACGATGATCCTGGTTGCATCCAGCCTCGTGCTCGGCCAGATGTTCCACGACATGCGCGTCCCATTTGTGTACTCCTGCGCTCGGACGTCCATGGCCGCTCTCGAGTGCGCCTGCCCCCCGCCAGGTGATAATCTGGAGTGGGCCCCCCTCGGGCTCAAGAGGGTGCTTGAGTCAAGACGGCGATGGAAGCGAGAGGGGATGATGGGACAGAGGATGGGAGAGGAGCACTAAACCACTGCACGCATGCAAGGAGTAAGACCCGGTGAAAATATCCATTCAAGGGGCAGATCAACGACCTGGCGAAGATGTCTAAGGGTGGCCCCAGATCTACACGTCCTCGAACGCACCTCTCCGAGAGAGTGGAGCTCAGAAGCGACTGGTGGTGTGCAGTTCGCTTTGGGGACCGTTCCGCGTGGGAGGCCCTCAGCACTCTAAAAACCCCTCGCAACCCTCCCGCAAGACTGCGCCGTCGCAGAAGTGATGATCAAAGCAACTCGCACCTGAGGGAACATCAGTGGAAGTCGTAGGGATGGTACGACTAGCAGCGGCAGAATCAGGAATAGTAGTGCAGAGGCAGCGGTCTAGTATGAAGGGGAGAGGGAGCAGAGAGGACAGGACAGGGAGGGAGGAGGACAAGGACAAGGAGGAGAGGAAGAGGAAGAGGGTGGGCAGGCAGGAAATGGAACAGAGAGAGAGAGAGGGAGAAAGAGAGCGAAGGGATGGGTTGGAGGAAAGAGTGGGGGGGCAGACGGCGAAGGATGGTGAGCAGGAGGAGGCGGGAAGAAGGAAGAGAGGGAAGAGTAGAGAGTAGAGGAGGGGGGGGAGAAGAGAAGGAGGAGGAGCCTGAGAAGGAGGATGGCAAGGAGAAAGACCATGACGAGGACTGGGACGAAGACGGGGATCAGGAGAGGAGGAGAAAGACGAGGTGGAGTAAGAAGGCGCAGGGCGAGGAGGAAGAAGGATCTGGAAGAGGAGGGCGGAGCGTGAGGACGAGGATGCCGGACGCGGAGGACGAGCAGGAGGCCGGCGCCTGTGCTGATGTTCTCGACGATCGCGGCTTGGATCCACTGCGGGCGGCGACGGGCGGGCGGGAGGCCCATGGCGAAAGGATCCGCCTCGCTTGCGTGGCGCGAGGGCCGGACAGGCGCACCGCAGATCGGCGGCGAGCCCGCGGGGGGGAGTGAGGGGAGGCGGGCCTCCTCGGAGAGCTCGGAAGTCTCCCGGCCTTCCGAGGAGGTTTCTGAGCCTTCCCCGAAGACTCTGAAAGCTTCTCGAAGGCCCGAGGTCTTTCTAAGAAGCCCGGCCGCCTTCTGAGAAGGCCTTCTCCTTCTCACTCCCCCCCATCGCTCGCCGCCGAGCAGATACCCTCGGACCCCCAGCCAGTTGCCCTTGCGGTGGCACAATGGCTGCAGACCGTCACAAACGACTCTGAATAAAGAGCTGGCCTTGGGGACAACCCTAGGGCCCAGGACCCGTTTCCGCCGAGACCCGTCTCTCCCTCGTGCCAGATCAGCGCGGCCGAACTCTGGCCACAGGGGCCTCGCCGGGGGCGCCCTCTCTCGGCCACTCCTCCTCCTCCTCCTCCTCCTCCTCCTCCTCCTCCTCCTCCTCCTCCTCCTCCTCCTCCTCCTCCAGCTCCAGCTCCAGCTCCAGCTGTCGCGAGGGCGGAGAACAGCGTCCGCTCTGGAGGGGCACCCATGTGCTCTTCGTGGAGGGGCCCCCGCTCGGGGTGCCTCCACGGGCCCTCGGCCCGTCGGAGCAGGGGCTCGCGCTCTCGATCCACGAGCCCGTGACCGTCCTTCGGCTGTAGCCCTTAGGCGCGGGGGCGTGCTCGGCACTCCGCCAGAATGCGCGGGGGCCACTGCTGATCGGCGTGCTGGCTCTGGGGTCGGCGGGTGGTGCCGGCTCCCGGTCGGCGTGCTCGGGCGCTCGGGCGGACGCGCTCGCCGCCGGGAGGAAGGGAGGGCGGGAGGGAGGGAGGGGAGGGGAGGGGAGGGAGAGGCGCCGCTCCTGGAACACCATCGTGACGCGGCCGGCCGAGCTCCTGCACTGCCTGACGTAGTTCCAGGTGTCCTCGGGAAGGGGGCGGGCCGCTCGGCTCCACGCTGGAGGGACTTGGCGGCGCGCAGAGAGGGATATCCTGAGATACTGGCGTTGCATTTTTTCCGAGCCAGTAGATTTCGGGCCCTAGGACCCTCACAGATCGATCCAGCTCGAAAAATGGCGCAGAAAGATGTGGTCTAGGGCTCCAGTCGTGATTTGTCACGATGTTTCAACTTTTTCGAGACGTCGGATCTCAGGGTAGGGGGAGGGGGAAAGGCTTCTCATAAGGAGGCTGCCCCCAAGAAGGCGACGGGCCGGGGTGCTTCTAAGAAGCCTTCTCTCCTCCCCCTACCCCCATCTGCGCGTGGCCAGGTGACCCTGAGCAGGAGCTGGAGCCGGTTGGGGGGGATGAGGATGCCCAGCACTGGCATCGGTGGCTCAAAGATGTCCTAAGGGTAGGGTAGGAAGGGATCCAAGGGTGGGATTTACCCTGTTTGAGGCACCTCGTCCTGAGGACCCCGTCCCTCAGGACCCCATCTTTGAGCCACCGATGGTTCCGGCCAGCAGAAGTGGGGGGGGAAGGGCCCCCTGGTCGCCACGGGTAGACGCGGCTCGAATACCGTGTCAGCTTCGACCCCGGAAGGGTCTGGGGACCGATTTTGAGCTAATCTGTGTTCATCCCCCCCCCCGCTTGACTGATACTCTCTGGTCTCTTTCCGCTCAGACCCCCCCCCCGCCGATTCCAAGACCCCGAGCAAGAGTGACTTTTGGTGCGCGCCCTGCCGATCTCAGCACTGAGGAGAACTGGTTCGGTAGGAACGGGGTCCTGAAGTCGTTCGCCGTTTGGGAAGGGGCCCAGGGACACACAAACATAGAGACACAAACCCCAGGATGCCCCATACCTTCCCATACTTTCTGGACTGGCGTCTTCCCCACCACTTCCCACATGTTCCATAGTTTCCGAGGAATCGAAGATGATTTGGTCTGTGTGGTTTTCCCCTCCTGATGTTTTGGGGGCCCTTGGGCGCTCCCCGGGCCTCGGGACCGTCAGAAGACGGCTGGGGATGCGGTGCTGGACCTGGGGAAAGCCCCGGGGTCCAGGCCCAGCTCCGATCCAGGAAATCTGCGCAGACCTCCGAAAGTTGATGTCAATGCAGGCTCGTCTTGTTGGATCTTGCCCGGGGCGCCCTAGCTGCAGGGGCCCCCAGCGGCAGCGGACGCGGGCATGGACAGGGCCAGACGAGACAAGCGAATCTGGCAACGCAGTGGTGGCATGTGAATGGCTGCCAGGGCATTAGGGAGGGAGGGGGTGGGGAGGCGAATCGAAGCGGGAGAGAGGGGGGGGGCGGCGAGAGGGAGGGCAAAGTGACGCTGCCAGGCCGAACGGACTGTCAGACGACCTGGTGGGTTCGGATGCCCTCTGGAGGCGGGTGAGACTCCAGGGCTCCTGGCAGGGTCTAGGCCCTGCCAGGGGTGGCAGCAGGGTCGGGCTGAGCCTGCCGGAAAGTGCAGCTCACTGAGAAGAGCCTGCGGTTGCGGCTGCGGCTGTGCAAAAGGTACGGCGGCCGGCTGCGAACGTGGCCCATGAAGAGGGGGGACTCGGGACAGGAGAAGCTGGGCCCCGCTCTGGCCCCCGTGCACAAGGGGGCCCGCAAGTCGGCACTGACACCGATGCCAGCGGTCGCCCACTCCCGGCAGAAGGGTGGCCCGAGTCCCAGTAAACATGGTCAGGTCGCCTCGAGAATGCCACTGAACACCAAACTCGGGGAGCGTCTTCTCCTGGCGGCTGCGACCCCCGACCACCGCAGGGCAACGCTGTAAGCAGCCAGAGACGTAAACTGAAGAGACCTGCCGCGACCGTCTCCAGCAGAGCCCGCGACGCACGAGCGCCACCTGGAAAGAAGGCCGCGCGCACCCAGACGGATCCGAAGCCCTCGATGTGTGGTACTGGTGCCAACGTCTTGTCATCCGATGCTCCCCAAAACCCTCCGAAGCCGTCCATGGCGACAGCAAAACCGAAAACGGGCCGAACCGACAGCGAAACCAACACCGACCGAAACCGACAAACCAAAAGCAGCCTTGCATGGCGCAGCGGCGCAGCAACCCATCGAACTGGACTGACCGAATGCAACCACTCGGCGGCGAGCTCGGGGGGGAAGTGAGAAAAGGCGGGCCTTCTCAGAAGTCTCGGAAGTCCCCCGGCCTTCTGAGAAGATTTCTGAGCCTTCCCCGAAGGTACGGAAAAGCTCTCAAAGGCGCGAGCGCTTCTGAGGAAGTCCCGCCGCCTTCTGACAAGGCCTTCTCCTTCTCACTTCCCCCCGTCGCTCGTCGCCGAACCGCCTGAGAAGCGGCCGAACCGACCGAACCGCGGACACCCTCGCTCCCCATTCCGCTCGGCTCAGCCTCGATTCGGCCTCGACACGGCTGCGGCCCGGCTTCGGCTTCGGCTTCGTCCTCGCCCTCGGCCTCGGCCTCGGCTCGGCTTCGGCCTGGGCCCTCGTCTACGGTCTCGGCCTTGGCCTCGGCATCGGCCTGGGCTCGGTTCGCTGCCTCGGCCTCGTGCCTGCCCCGCCCCGTGGAGCCCCCGCGCGAGAGGCCCCGCCGGCGGGCGCACAAACACGGGCGCGCAAACACGGGGCGCGCAAGCACGAGCGCGGCCCACCGAGCGAGCGCGCCCACGGCCGGGCCGCGCCGCGCTGGCGCGTGGGCCAAGCCGAAGCAGGCCCCGTCCCCCCGGAGCAGTGCGCTCTGGGCTCGCTCGGCCGCCCGAGCCCTCGCGGCCGCCGAGCGCGCAGCTGAGTCCTGGCTCGATCTGCTCGAGCCCTGGACCGGGTGGTGCTCGAGACTCCCCCATTGGTTTTCTGCACTAAATTCGAGCTGTAGGCTGCTCCTCCTTCTCCTCCTTCCCCTCTTTCTTCCTTCTCCTCCTCCTTCTCCTTCTCCTCCTAGTTCTCCTCTCCTCCTCCTTCGCCCATATGCTCGATCTCTTCGGGCACGGAGAGAAAAGCCGCCTAGACTGTCTCGGGCCGGGCGTGCCCGCCAACCCGCTGGACGGGCTCGGCCCCAGGTCCGCTCCGCGGCCGACGTGGGCTCTGG